GGGTGGATAGGTGGATGGGTGGATGGGTGGATGGATGGATGGATGGATGGGTGGATGGGTGGGTGGATGGATGGATGGATGGATGGATGGATAGATGGATGGGTGGATGGGTGGACGGATGGGTGGATAGTTGGATGGGTGGATGGATTGATGGGTAGAATGACCTACCATTTCAGTTGTCATGATTGTTGTTCTGGGTGGTACCCAAGCTGAATGGTTTGTTGGTTTTATCCTCTCATTTGTTAATTTGTTAGTAATAACTCACTGATACACTAACTCACCCTTGGGTTGCTGGTCCCCATGCTGCGGAGATACATCATAATCCCTGCATTCAACATGTGCTCATTCACCAAAGTTGGGCCATATGTTCCCCCATGAGTAGCCACAGAGCCCAGCATAGTGGGAAGATGCTTCAACTCTTTCCTGAGTGAAGAGCAAGCACTTGTTCTCGCGTCACCAGGCTCGCTTGCCTGGGAAGTTTGTGGTTTGTTTTCTTTTGAAATCTCTGGGTCCCCAGCCCAGCCAGCATCTCTCATTGATGCCAGGGCTGCTCATGGTTGGCACAAAGTTGATTATTTCTCTCCCATTATAACATGAACACTGTTCCTGATATACTTTTTGGAAAATACAAAGTAGAAAGAATAAAAATGACAGTCACTCGGAATCTGACCACACGAGGACAAGCCTGGCTGACGCTGGGATGTATGACTTTCTTCTCCATTTATATTTACATTTTCCAATCTGTGGTCAAATTTAATAATGTGAATGTCTAAATAAACCACTAATTCCCCAATTTCACCTTTTGGCTTAATTTTCCAGCCTTTAAGGAACAGCCAGGTGCAGGGCCACGGGGGCAGGGGAGACAAGAGGACAGAAAGCGAAGTCGTATTAGTCATATTCTTTTTTGGCCTGTGTAGCCCGAGTGTTGGATTTCCTCTTGTTTTATTTTGTTTGAGCCTTTCGACGTGTTAGGTGTCTGTTTGTAAACTTTCCTCTGCTTCCGATTTCAGTCTGGAAGCAGCAGATTGATTTTAAATAGAAATACCTTGAAGGTGGTGTTGTTTGGGGGCTGGAAAATCCATCCACAGGAGTCCCACCACCAACTGCCAAGTGGAAGTTTTATGACTGGTTCACTACATCAATAGAGGAGGCAGTGCGTCGTCTGGGGAGCAGGTGGGCTCCGTTCCAGGGGAGCAGACAGAAATTTGGGGGTGGGGGGAAGCTTACACATGCTCGGGGCACAGCCCAAGCAGAAGAACTTACTTAGTTTTTCTTTCCTTCTTTTCTTTTTTTTTTCAGCTTACAATTAACATTCAGAGTTCAGTCTCCACCCTCCCTCTTGAAATGGAATTTTTATCTTTTGATTCACACTACAAGATAAAATCCCAGTTTATCCAATTGCATGAATAATTGATAAGCTCTTTCCAACTTGCCAGAAGCAACTTAGCAGTCTCGCCTTGCAGCCTGGAACCCCTGGCAATTTCTGGAGTGCCAGCGACAGACCCTTGCACAGTTTCTCCTTGGAGTCCACCGACTTTCTGTCTCAGGGGTGGGATTTATCTCTTGATCCAGATTCGGGAGTTACAGATTAGGGACCTAGGGTTCCAGCGTCGGGGATGCGGGGAGGAGGGGAGGCAACGTCGGTGTCCACTTAGATTTCCTGCAATTGAGTCTGTGACAGGTGTGGATTCCGCTGGGAGCCTCCTGGCTGGCGGCTTCAGAGTTCACGGCATTAATTAACTCTAATCTGTTCCCTGATAGTTTAAACCAGACCCGAGATGTGAAGGTATTTTCTTTCCTAAAATGTAAGGGGCTTAATGAGATAGCAAAGAGGGCCTGTGTCTCGCCTGTTTAATGCACTTGGCTCTCTGGCTGTGTTTATATGATAAAAGCAGTGGGGTGTAATTTATGTGCTTAGCTGGGGTTTATCCTTTTTAAGCAGGTCTGGACGGCTTACCTGTTATATTTGGCTCAAGCCTAGCTTAAAAAAGAATTTATAGAGTGTACTGCAGAATGTCCCAATTCTGCAACACCAAAGGTAAAAGTGACTTGGGGTAATGGTGCAAAATGCCCCTAAGGAAAAGGGTTGACAAGATCGTGTGTCTTCCTCCCCCTCCCACGCTCCAAGCATCTTCCCACTGGCTTTCATGGTGGGTTTGATGGGGCTGAGATTGCCTGTGCCTTGTGGCTGGCGGGGTCTCGGATTGAAACCCGTCGAGAGGAGTCAGCTTCCAGGTCTCTCGGGAGCTGTGTAGTCCTATCTCGCCTCGGGGGAAGTGGGGAAGCGGGGCTTTAAGCGACCACTCTCATTTATCAACCACACCATTCATTCCGTTTTCTCTTTCATTTGCAGAAGGTGGAGAGAAAATGAATCAGAGGCGGTTTTTTTTTTTTTTCCTGGCCTGTTTCCCCAAAGCTCCAGGAAATTAAGAAACATGCCGTTAGTTTTAGCAAACAATTTAAGCAAACTCAAACCAGAGGTCTCACCAAAGGCCTGGGATCTGAATGAGACCCCGTTTGTGGTCCTGGTCCTCCTCATGGATGCTGCCAGAAGTAGAGGAGGAGCCGGTGGGGAAGGAGGGGGAACGGGGGCATCTGCGGGCTGCGACTGACCTCCCTGCAGACCCCCAGGGTCAGTGGGCCTTTCCTTGGAAGCTGGTCCCCGACATGGCACTGGGTGGCCTTCTCCTGCCCCACCTAAACCCATAGGTTCCTGCAGTGTCTCCAGGCTGTGTGGTTTATTGGGAAGTAGAGTGTGTGGCGGGTTTCAACTGTCTGCGCTCTACCAAAAATGTTAATGGGGTGAGCTCTGCCCCAGCGCGGACACAGTGGAACGCAGATCGTATGGGCTGCACCATCACGAGGGTGATTCTGGTGTTTAAGATGCACGTTTTGTTGGGCCACACTGATGGGTCTCCAGGAGCTGTTCTGAGTAAATGAGAAGATGTATGTAAAGCTGCAGTCCCGGTGCTTGGCCCAAAGTGAGCGTCGGGTTGTGATAGCAGCGACGATGACAGGGATGATGGCAATGACGATGACAGTGACGATGACAGTGATGATGGCAATGACGATGACAGTGACGATGACAGTGACGATGGCAATGACGATGACAGTGATGATGGCAGTGACGATGGCAGTGACGATGACAGTGACGATGACAGTGATGATGGCAATGACGATGACAGTGACGATGACAGTGACGATGGCAGTGACGATGGCAGTGACGATGGCAATGACGATGGCAGTGACGATGACAGTGACAATGACAGTGACGATGGCAATGACGATGGCAGAGACGATGGCAATGACGATGGCAATGACGATGACAGTGATGATGACAGTGACGATGACCATGATCAGGAGGAGTCAGGATGTCAGGGGTCAGGGTTCTGGCTCCAGCCCAGCCAAACCACTCACCACCACAGTGACCTCGGCACATCCCTGTTTACCTCTGCACTCACGTTGTTTGTCCATAAAACATCCAAAATGCATTGGAGGGAGGTGAGAAGTGAGCTTGAGAAACTGACACCCCACAGCTTCTGGCTTCCAGGGGTGTAGCTTTCTTTCCTCTCTCTCTCTCTCTCTCTTTTTTTTTTTTTTTCTAATTCCAACGTGAAATACATGCCTATGACAGAAAATCGTAATAAGCAGAAACACACCCCTAGGAAGACCAGAGTCTCTTTATCCTTCAGTCATTCATTCAGCAGACACTTGGTGGTGGTGGAGTGGGAATGGAACCAAGACTTGGGCTTTTGCATAGAAATCAACACGTCAATTCTAAAATGCAAAGAGTTGTGTGACTGGAATTGTGTTGACTCTATAAATTGGTTTTAGAAGGACTGACACCTTAATATTGACTCCCAATCCACTGACATGACATCTCTCTCCATTTATTGAGGTCTTTGTTTCCTTCATTACTATTGTTTCGTTTTCAGCATATAGGGTTTGTATGTGTTTTGTGAGATTCATACCTAATCATTCATGGATTTGGTGCTATTGTAAATGGTACCTTAAAATATTTCAATTTCCAATTGTTCATTGCAAGTGTCTAGAAATACAATTAATTTTTGTATATAGACCTTGTATCCTAGAACCTCACTAAATTCACTTTTTAGTTCTAGTAACTTTTTCATAGATTCTTTGGAATTTTTTGTGTAGATAATTATGTAATCTATGAATATAGACAGTTTCATTTCTTCCTTTCTGGAGGAGATGCCCTTTCCCCCCGGATTTATTGCAGCGGTACCAGATTGAGTAGGAATGATGAGAGCCAATATCCTTGTCTTGTCCTGGATCTTAGGAGTAAGGCATTTAGTCTTTATTATGTGTGACGTTAGCTGTAGGTTGTTTGTAGATGCCCCTTATCAGTTTAGATGCTCTTCTAGTCCTTGTTTTCTGAGGTTTTGTTGTTGTTGTTTTAATCATGGACGTGTCTTTATAAAATGCTTTCTCTGCATCTTTTGTGATGATCATAAGATTTTTCTTCTTTCACCTGCTGATATGGTGAGTTTCATTGATTGATTTTTTAATGTTGAGCCAGCCGTACATTCCTGGGATAAAGTCCGCTTGACTGTGATGAATTATCCTTTTTATATATTGTTGGATTTGATTTACTTGTATTTCATTAAAGATTTTTATCTATATTCATGGAGGTTATTCATCTGTAGTTTTCTTTTACTGTAATGTCTTTGATTTTGGCACCAGGGTAATACTGGTCTCATAAAATGAGTTGGGAAATGTCCCTTCCTCTTTTGTATTCTGGGAGGATATGTGAAAAATTGGTATTATCTCTTTCTTGAATATTTGGTAGAATTCAACATTGAAGCCATCTGGGCCTGGGGTTTTCTTTTTAAAAAGGTTTTAACTGTACATTTAATTTATTTAATAGATAAAGGATTATTCAGGGTATTTATTTTTTCCTGAATGAGCTTTGGCATTTTGTGTCTTTCAGGGAATTTCTCTATTTCATCTAAGTTGTCATATTTGTGGGCATAGAGTTGATTGTAATATTCCTTTATTATCTTTTAATCTTTTCAATGTGATGTCCAGGCTTTCATTCCTGATATTGATAATTTGTGTTATTCTCTTCTTCTATTGGTTAATCTGGTTAGAGTTTTATCTGCTTTATTTTTTCAAAGAAGAAGCTTTGGGTTTCATTTATTTTTCTCTGTTATTTTTCTGTTCTCAGTTTCAGTAGTTTCTGCTCTTATCTTTATTATTTCCATTCTTCTATTTATGATTCTATTTTATCTACCCTGTTGGCTTAGTATTTATATCTTAAAAATATGTTTTAGTGGTGGTTCTAGGTTTTTTTTTTTTTTAGATTTTTTTAAAAAAATGTATTTATTTTATCTTTGGCTGTGTTGGGTCTTTTTTGCTGCACACGGGCTTTCTCTAGTTGCACCTAGTGGGGGCTACTCTTCGTTGTGGTGCGTGGGCTTCTCACTGCAGCAACTTCTCTTGTTGCGGAGCATGGGCTCTAGGTGCACGGGCTTCAGTAGTTGTGATGCACAGGCTTCAGTAGTTGTGGCACCCAGGCTCTAGAGTGCAAGCTCAGTAGTTGTGGCGCACGGGCTTAGTTGCTCTGCAGCATGTGAGATCTTCCCGGACCAGGGCTCAAACCCGTGAGCCCTGCATTGGCAGGTGGATTCTTAACCACTGCACCACCAGGGAAGCCCTGCCCTAGGTTTTACGCTATAAATCTTTAATGAAAAATTCTGACTTCAAATAAAATGATACTGTGTTATGTCTAGTCTAGGAAACTTACAACAATATGCTAATAATTCTTCATTCAAATGCTTTGTGTCATTGGTGTCATGTATTTTAGTTTTGCGTATGATATGACCACACAGAAGCTTGCTACGACTTTTGCTTTTGCTACTACTTTTTTGAAAATCAGTTATCTTTTAGAGCAGGAGTTGGCAAACTTTTTCTTTAAAGAGTCAGATGTAAATACTTTAGGTTTTGCAGGCCATGTGGTTTTTGTCACAGCATCTTGACCCTACCACTGTAGTATGAAAGCAGCCATAGACAATATATGAATGAATTTTATAAATTCAATACAACTTTATTTACAAAAATAGGCAGCAGGCAGTATATGGCCCACAGCCTGGGAATAAATTTGGGGTTGATAGTTTTTTTCTTCTAGCACTCCAAGATGTCATTTCCATTGTCTTTTTAAAAAATCTTATTTTATTTTATTTTATTTTATTTTTTGGAGTATAGTTGATTTAAAATGTTGCATTAGTTTCAGGTGTACAACAAAGTGATTCAGTTATATATATATATATATATATACACGTATCTATTCTTTTTCAGATTCTTTTCCCATTTAGAATACTACGGAATATTGAGTCGAGTTCCCTGTGGTATACGGTAAGACCTTGTTGATTATCTATTTTATATATAGTAGTGTGTATATGTTAATCCCAACCTCCTAATTTATCCCTTCCCTCCACCTTTCCTCTTTGGCAACCATAAGTTTGTTCCATTGTCTTTTATCTTGCCTAGTTTCTGATGAGATGTCTGATGTAATTATTATCTTTGTTCCTCTGTATGTAATGTGTTTGTTTTTCTTCTGCCTACCTTTGATTTGCTCCTTGTCCTTAGTTTTCAGCAGTTTGACTATGATATGCCTGTTTTGGTGTTTGTTTTTGTTTATTGTATCCTGTTTGGTGTTCTCTGAGCTCTTTGGATCTGTGGTTTGATGTCTGTCATTAGTTTTGGAAAATACCTTTTTTTATAATTTCAATAATTTATTTTAAAGTATTAACATTGGTTTCATGGCCCAGAATACAGTTTGTCTTGGTGAATGTTCCTTGTGTACTTGGGTGGAGTTTTCTATAAATGTCAGTTAGATAATTATTTCTTCAAATATTTTTTCTGCCTCATTCACTCTTCTCCTTCTGGGATTCCAAATACACTTCTGTTGGACCATTTGTTATTGTCCCCAAACTCTTGGATGCTCTGATTTTTTTAAAAATTAAATTTATTTATTTATTTATTTATTTGTGGCTGCATTGGGTCTTCATTGCTGCACGCGGGCTTTCTCTAGTAGTGGCGAGCGGGGGCTACTCTTCATTGTGGTGTGCGGGCTTCTCATTGTAGTGACTTCTCTTGTTGTGGAGCGCAGGTTCTAGGCATGTGGGCTTCAGTAGTTGTGGCATGTGAGCTCAGTAGTTGTGGCACACGGGCTTAGTTGCTCTGTGGCATGTGGGATCTTCCAAGATCAGGGCTCAAACCTGTGTCCCCTTCATTGGCAGGAGAATTCTTAACCACTGCGTTGCCAGGGAAGTCCTGGATGCTCTGATTTTTTAAAAACTCTTTTTTCTCTTTGAGTTTCAATTTGAATAATTTCTATTGACCTGTCTTCAAGTTTGTTATTACCTGTGTTAAGTTTACTAATGAGTCTGTCAAAATCATTCTTTGTCTTTGTTACTGTGGTTTTTATTTCCAGTATTGCCATTTGATTCTTTCTTATAGTTTGTACTCTTTTGTTGAAATTACCCCTGTGATCATTCATGGTGTCTTCATTTTGACTTGAGCCATTAACATGTTGATCAGTTATTTTAAGTTCCTGTCTGATAATTCCAACATCTATACCATATCTGAGTCTGATTCTGTTGATTCTTTTGTCTCTTGATGGCTTGTTGCTTTTTCTTTGAGTGCCTCAAAATTTCTTTATTGAAAGCCAGACATCTAGTGTTGGACAACAGGGACTGAGGTAAATAGTTTTTATGTCTGGAAACAGAGCATGCCTTTATTTCTGCCAGGCCTTTAGTATGGGGAGATGAGTCAATCCACTTAGGAGTTCAGCTGGGTTTAGGTTTTGTTGTTGCTATAGTTACCCTCAATGTACCACTAGCTTCAAGCTAACCTCTTTGGTTAGCTTGTGTTTATGTGGGGAGTTGCTTTGCAAGAGCATTTTCCGTAATGTCTGCTCCACCCTCAGCTTTAAGTCTTCCTTTGCACTTTGCCAGAGAGGATCTCTCTACATCCTGTTGCCCCCTCCTGGCCTCTGAGGCTGTTACTTGTGACTCCACACTGATTCACCTGGTGGTGGGCTGAGGGTGGGGGGAGTGTCCTCTGTTATGAGTATGCCTTGATCTCAGCCAGGCCCTGTGTGAGCCTGTCCAACCACAGCTGTGGGTCTGGGCTCAGGATGTCTTCCTTTGCATCCCACCCTACCCTAGGAATAGAGGGTTTTCTTGTTTTTTCCTTCAATCAGCGTCATTGGTTTTCACCAGTGTCCTAAGGGTACCACTTTTTTTGCCCTTCCCCTAGAACTTTTCGGAGATGGGGAGAAGGACCTGGGTGGGGCTTTGTGCTTTTCCTGTGGTGGCCGCTGTTCCCTT